AGGTGTAAATATTCAAACATATTGGAACCTTCCACTTTGAGGTTTTGGAGCTGTGACCAGACAAACAGAATCACACTGACCCCACAGACACGAGGAGCACCACCACAAATAATCACACCTTCTTTACCTCAAATCAGACTAAAGGCTGCTGCACACTACAGGATTTTTCAGTCTTAAACAGTTTTTAAATGTCACGCACACCACAGACAAGAGGAGAATCTTACGAGACTTTAAAGGTTGTATGGTGGATTTTTTTGTTTGTTTCAAATTGTCAATGAAAGTTTAAAATACTATTACAGAGACGCAGCAGCTTTGTAATTATAATGACCAAAAAAAAAAGAAAGAAAATCTATCAACTGTGGACGTGTTGAGGCCAGATAAACATCAGCCAATAGAAAAGGAGGCTGCCTCACTTTCTATTGGCTGTTAGGTTGTCAATCAATCTCCCTACGTTTCTAAGGTAACTATGCAGCGGTTCTTAGAGGCTTTTTCTAATTGTGGCTCTCGCAGTTCGCATAAAGTTTGTTGCGATGTCGGACGAGAATCCACGACCAGTTCGCCGCAAAAGAAAGTCCGTTTTTGAGGTCGCTGAAAGAAGAAGAGAAGGAGAAAAGGAGCGAAGACAAACTGAGGTGATTCTTGGAGATTCCTTTCAGTGACTGCGCGACTGAAGCAGACAAAGGGTCTAAAAACTGAGGTGTCGGTCTCTAAATTATTTCTAGAGGGACCTGTGGAGGAGGAAGGTGGTGTCAAGGACTGTCGCTGGATTTCTCTTTCCTTAAAAAAATCCTCTATACAACCTTTAAATCTCCGATCGCAAACACTGCAGCGGGATCTGTCTGCAGACCACAGCTTATAAAGTTGTGAGCGAGATCACGTCAGCTGTTTTCTGTCTACAGTAAAACGAGTCGCACTGAGACTCTTAAAGTGTTCAAAAGATCAGACTCTGCACTTCTAGTTTAGATACAAGTCAAAACCGTGTTCAAAACTTCAGATACAGGATTTTTAAAGCGTAAAATATTGGAGATAAAGTCCACAAGAAGTAGAGTCACTGTCGTTAATCTGCAGCTTCACCTCGATCCGTGCGCTGTGTGGATGTAAACAGACACACGTGAGGAACTACTCCCACCTTTTTACTTTTAAAGAACGACTCAAACTGGATTCACAGCGCCGTTTTGTGGACTGAGGATATTATTTATGGAGAAAAATTCTACGGATAATGTGGAATGAGGACTCTACACTTTAAATTTACCAGTTTACGAGAGGTGAGTAATAAAGTCTTCTCATTATTTTCGCTGTGTCCCGAGTTTGTATCTTGCGCCTCTGTGTCCGTCACTCCTCTGCCCCTGACGCTCTGGTTTATTGTCCGTTACCGTAGCGTTGCTCATGTTTGGCGGTTATGATCTGACAGAGCAGCTCACAAAGACACCACACACACACAAAATGTCTCCTCGAACTCCGGGGGAAGCAAATCGCAGCCAAAATCGGGCAAATTCTCCTGCAGAGTGCGGCGGCCTTTAGGCTCAAAACGCTGCCGACTTCAGATAAAAGAAAATAAAACTCTGAATTGCGGTTGTGATGTGATCTCGTTCTGATATTTAGCGACAGTGAGATTCTACGCTCACACTTCGGGCCGCGCTATAAAAGGAACCGGTCGTGGCTCAAAGAGACGATAGTTTCTGATCCATGAGGGAAACGTTTATGAAATTGAACATGAATAAAACAGTAAGTCATCCCCGGGAGTGAGCGCGGACATGTCTGTGGTGTTTTTCAGCCTGATGTGACAAAGCTCCACTCGGAACGGCCGACTGAGCACGAACACGAGGCCAGAGGAAGGATTAAAGAGAGAAGCAAAGAGTGAAACAAAGCAAACAGCGCCCGCAGTGTGTTACGTGTGTATGTGTGTGTGTGTGTGTGTGTTTGCATGTACGTGTGTGTGTGTGTGTGTGTGTGTGTATAAGAGAGGGAGCAGTCATAATTGTCATGCCAGGCCATCCAGTGCTCTCTCAGAACGCCACGCTCAGCTGAACACGGCCCAGCTCCATCTGAGATCAACAAATTAGCTCCAAAAGTGTGTGTGTGTGTGTGTGTGTATTTATGTGTGTGTGTGTGTGTGAGAACAGGTAAAGCACACATGTGACGAAAGGCCACAGCTCCAGTCTGGGATGAGACGGTGTGTCTAAATTGGCTGTGAGTGTTTCTCTGCATACGGGAGCGGCCCCAGTGCACCGTGGGAGCTTCATGACGGCGTCTCTGGACTTGGGCTAAACGGTTTTAAGAAAAAAATGTATAGCGATTTTTCTGGCAGATATTGCGATTTTAGTTTCATCCATGTTTTTTTTTTTTCAAATCCAGTTTCAGTGCACATGAACATTTGCAAACATCACAGAAACTTACATCATACCAGGTGTGTGGAGTTTAAAAACACAGTGGAGCACGTCCTGAATTACCCATAGAACTATCATAAAATCTGAAGCTGAACCCAAGATGGCATCGTGTTTTTTTCAGTGGTCTGTCCTCATTGGTGCATGGGCCCAAAAATAATTTTCTCTTCCATATTTACTTCCTCAACCAGGACGAGCTCCTCCCACCGTGTGATGTCTGTAACCTGCACAGCGTGGAGCGTTTGGACCAATCAGAGTGAGAGCTGCTAGAGCGGCTCAGAGCGGCGAGGCCCAGTCTGACAAAGATCATTTTAAGGAGTCACGAGGATTTAAACATTTAAAAAGTTAATGTTGTGAAAATAGAAAAGAGTTCAACAAAATATGACCTTTGTGAAAGTCAGATGCCCTGAAGAACACGGACAGTCTGAATTCACAAAAAATGCTTTGCGCTCTGTGCGAGAATTCCTTCTGCTTCAAACTACCGGAGCTGCAGTACCTGGAGTGGCCACTAGTCAGGATATAGGGGGAGGGGCTTATCCAGTTTTTATTATAGATCCATGGTATTACCACATGACATCACAAGGTGGAACAGAGTGTTTTCTCTTTGAGGGAAGAACTCCGTCTAAATGTGCAGGTTTGTGTGTTAAACATGTGTGAATGAAACAAAACACAACTCCAGGTCTGTTTGTGACGAGGAAACTACAATCAGAACACAAATCAGAAAATAGCTACTAACTACTTCTATCAAGTAATTTATGTCCTATAGTAGTTTTAATATGAATTTTCCAACAGTTGAGATTTACATTCTCAATTTCTCTCTTATTTCCATGTGCGTCCAGATAAATCAGACCAAACACAGGAACAATCATCAACATCTGAACAGGGAACAGCACAGGCACACGTCCACACTTATGGAATGAGAGCAGATCAGAAGAAAGAAGGGGTGGGGCTAAGTGCAGAAGGGGAGGGGCTTAGGACAGCAGTGGGGGAGCGCACAGCAGGGAAGTGATCATCTGGCGAAGAAGTAACCAAAAAGTATTGATCATGGGGGAAGTGCAGACCTCAAAGTGTAAAGGGCTTTTTTTTTTTCTTCTTTTCAAATCAGGTCTGAGGTATTTGGGGCAAAGAACAACATCATTACCCATATTTCTTTTACTCTGACTAGGGCTGTCACGATACTAACATTTCTGACTCGATTTCAACAATAAAGAATATAAATGGACTCACTCAAAACCGATTACAATACAGATTCTGATACCAGCTGTATTGTATTTTAAATGTTTTGGAGCATCTTAGAAATCACAGGACATCTTATAAATTATGCTTTATTTGACACCAGTCTTGCTATATTTATTGCTGCTCATTTAGAATTGATTAATTATCACTATTTATATCTTTTCTCTTTGTTATTATATTATATTGTGATGTTAGAGCTCCTGTGTCCAAGTCAGTTCTCTTGTGGATCAATAGTTTGTCTATGTCTAAAAGTATATTTTTTATTTTGAATGTTTCTATTACACTGAAAAAACCTTCAGCCTTAATCTGAGTGGGTTTGCATCTCTACAAACTTGACTCGGATCTGACTGACTCTTGCTGCTCCTTTGATTTGTTTTACCATAATGTGGAAGATAAAAGCTACTGTATATGGAAAACGTTGAAGTGATGGTTTTAACTTTATAGTTCTAACCTATTAACTGCCACCTGCCAGATGTAAACGTTTGTAGTAGATTTACTCACACAGAGTTTGGGGCAGAGTTTGGGGCAGAGTTTGGGGCAGAGTTTGGGGCAGAGTTTGGGGCAGAGTCTGGGCTGTGTTGGGGCAGTGTCGGGGCTGGGTTTGGGGCAGCTTTTGGGGCACCGTCGGGGCAGAGTTGGGGCTGTGTTTGGGGCCATGTTGGGGCAGTGTCTGAGGTCACATTGGGGCAGTGTTTAGGCAGCATTTGGGGCAGTATTGGGGAAATGTTTGGACCATATTTAGGCAATGTTTAGGTAGTGTTTGGGGCAGTGTTTTGGCCGTGTTTGGGCAGTGATTGGACAGTGACTGGGGCTGTGTCGGGGCAGTGTTTGGGGCCTTGTTGGGACAGCATTGGGACCATGTTGGGGCAGTGTCTGGGCAGTGTTTGGGGTAGCACTGGTGCATCATTGGGGCAGCATTGGGGCAGCGATTGGGGAGTCAGGGCCGTGATGGGGCAGCGTTGGGGCCGTGTTGGGGCAAGGTTTGGGCCGTGTTTAGGCAGTGTTTATGCAGTATCAGGCCATGAAGTGTTCCATTGTGCGGTGATGAGGCCATTATGTGGTTAGGGATGAGCGCCCTGACAGCTCTGTAATAGAACTCTATCAGCAGATGGAAATCAGGAACACAGGCCCCGCCCACTCATCTATCTCACTCAAACAGACACGCCCCTTTTTATGACTCAAACACACACGCCCAAATCCTCTCTGGAGCGGGCCCCTCTCTGCTAAAGACTCTTAAACCATGAGAGATTTTGTTGTTACAATCACCAACAGAGCCCAAAACAAAGTCGCCATCCTCTTGTTTCCAAACGTCTTACGGTTTTGTGACGTAAGCGTGAACAGAGCTCGCTGTGCAGGTCTATAAATGTAACGGAGCCTCACCTGATTCCGAGGTTCATGGTCTCCGCGGTCCCGATCATCCCGATGGCGAGCAGCATGTTGTTGCAGATTTTCGCAGCCTACAGGACGAAACACAGACAAACAGGAAAACAGGGTCAAATCAAAACTGTAGAACTGTTGGAATAAGCTTTCATGAATCTGCGTCATGACAAAAAGTAAAGAAAAGCAAACGAAAGTCATGTTCTGTAAAGCGATGGTGACCTGGTGCTCACTTGTGCAAAAAAATTTTTATTAGAATCTGATTTCTTGACCTTAAGTATTACTTAAATGGGACGAGACAAAATTTCTACGAGACGAGACAAGTCACGAGATTTGACAAGATTTCAATATAATTTCTCATGAATAATGTGTACCACTTAGTTCGCAAGTTCGGCTTCATAATTTTTCATTTATTTAATTTATAGTTTTGCATTAAGACACGCTTTTTGGAACTAAATCTCATCAAGTGAAGTTACTCAGCAAAGTTAACTTTTTTTTAACGAAGGCAAATGTAAAAATATAAGGAAAGAAAATCTCACAAGATCATTTTTTCTCACATGACGAGATTTTGTCCCAATTGTATTTAAATGAAAACTATCAAATCTCATGTGAGAGATCAGAGAGACCATGATAAGAAATTGAATGAATTTGCTTTTTCTTTCTCTTTCTTATAAAATTAAAAAATCTGAGCAAAACATAGAACTCAGGAATTCTGTACTGAAGTCTCCACCTTCAAGAAACTGCTCAAAACCCGACTATTTAGAACCAGTTTTAATGTCTGACCCACTTTAATCATGCTTATATTTTGTCCTGTTACCTAATTTTTAAATATGAACTTTTTCAATTGTATTCTTTGTTCAGCGTTTTTGAGTGTTTAGAAAAGTGCTTTATGAATAAAATGTATTATTATTATTATTAATATAGGGTTAAAACATTTTGAGAAAATAATTTACATTTTTTGGGTGAGGATTGTGTTTGCAGATTTACCTGTTTACAATTTTCGGTTTAATCTCACGCAGGAGTATTACACTTAAATTAAAACATTAAAGGTCTTATATTACATGAAATTTGACTCTTGGAAGCTGTAAGCAGTTTTATAACGCTGATACGTCGTCCAAAAACAGACCTGGAGTTGTGTTTTGTTTCATTCTCACGTGTTTGAGTGACTCTGCTTTATTAGTCTGTCTACATCTCCTCCTTCTTGTATCACCACGTGACATCACAAGGTGGAACTTATCATTTTCTGTTTGAGAAAAGCACTCCTAAGCCTAAATCTTCAGGGTTTGTGTGTTTAAACTTGAAACAAAAAACAACTCCAGCTCTGTTTGTGACGAGGAAACTACATTTTAAGTCTGTGCAATAAACTGAATTTTTATCACAATTTCGATTTGTGTGTCAAACGATCTCCAAACTCATAATCAAGTTGAAATTATTTCAAGCTTAACAAAGTTTTATATAAATAACTATATTTATTATATTTTTAAAAAATAGAGATTGTAGAACAGCTGGATATAGAGTCTATTTTGGATGCATTTATGTGTTTCTGTGCCTTATTTCTTGCTCAAAGTTTTATTTTATTTTATTCATTTTATGTTTTATACATCGCAAAACTGCCCTAAGGTTCAGATTTGTAGCCTGAATTTATTTTTAATTTGAAAGTTTCGTGTAAATTATCAATAACAAAGTGTTTTTTGTTGAGAGAGAAACGCTGAATAAATGCATTGTTTGAATAATCGCGATCTCAATATTGACCAAAATAATCGTCAATCAATCAATCTAACTTTATTTAGAGAGCACTTTTAATACAAAAAAATGAAACACAATGTGCTTGTGATAATGATTTTTTCCATAATTGATCAGCCAGAACAATTATGACATAAAAAACTAATATGGGCATTTAAAATATTCTCACTTTCACTTTTTTTGTTTTTGTTCTGTGCATTTCCCGATCCCAGAGAATAAAAACATGAAAAAGCTGTAGAAACCAAAACAAAACACCTGTTACGACGGTGTAGAAGTGGACCGGTGAGCTGGTCTTACCTGTCCTGACCCCACCTGGCCGCAGTAGACCACGTTGGCTCCCATACACGTGAGCAGCTCCTGGGCGGCCGTGTACTCCTCCTCTGGACCCCCCACCATGAACGTCAGCTTAGCCATACTGGCGGCACCCACACCTGCACACAAAAGAGAGAGGAAAAGGAGGTGAGTGAAGAGCTGGGCCAGAACAGGAGGACTCAGGTGCATCATCTACATCCATCTCGACCGCTTTGTTTACTGTTGTGCTCTTCCACAAAAGGACCCAGACGGACGTGACGAGTTTGAGTCTCATTGACCCGAAGAACTTTTTTTTTTCCCATTCGAGTCAATCAGACCTAAAAATTTATTTTCAAATAAATTCTTGCCAGGCGAGAAAATAAACTTTTGGGTCTGATTGATCCGCCCCAAGAGAGCGGGAAGGAAAAAAATAAAATTCTTCGGGTCAATGTGACTCCAAGGAGAGCGTGAGGGTTAATACGATTTCACATTGGTTTAGTCGTGTTCAGCAGAGTTTGAGATCAGGACTGTGAGTTTGGATCAGGACTGTGAGTTTGGATCAGGACTGTGAGTTTGGATCAGGGCTGTGATCCAAACACCATCAACCACAGACCTCCAGCCCCAGCACAGGTGTGTTCGACTCTCGCTGAAGAATATGGAGCAGTAAACCGTAAAGGACACTGTTTGTCAGCAAGAACCGCAGCGTGAGTGTCTGTAGAAAAGGTCATACGTGAACTCATACTCTCTCTTTCTTTCTCTCGCTCTCTCTCAAAGGGACAGTGAGTTTTCCTCTGGGGAGCTGTGGCCTTTTGTCCCGGGGCAGCAGCTGTGCCTGGGGCTCTGGGCAGGACCCCCCCCGGTGGACCCCTCATGGGCGGAGCGCTGACAGGACACGGGGTAATTAAGAGCACACTTTATCATGTTCAATTACGTGTGGTTGGTCCTGAGGCTTAAGGAGCGCGCCGTGTTCAGACAGTTTAACACAAACGTTTAACACCGAGGCCGAGGAGGGGGAGGTCTGACGGGGGGTCTGCAGGGCACCGCCACCAGGTCACAACCAGGGACATAACCAGGGCACAACCAGGGCACGACCAGGGCACAAACCAGGGACATAACCAGGGCACGACCAGGGCACAACCAGGGACACAACCAGGGCACCACCAGGGCACAACCAGGGGGGCACCACCAGGGACACCACCAGGGTTCTGGGGTTCTGGGTTCTGAAATTTCTTTTCAACTTTTCAAAATAAACACAGATAAATGACAATCTGCTGTCGACGGAGCCGTTTATTATGGTTTTTAAAGGAGCTGTACCTGATTTTTGCTGCATCATCACATTAAAGCTAACAACAACCAGCATGCTAATGGCACACTTCCTGTTTTGCTGACAATAAAACACTTAGAATTGGATGCAGACAAAGGTATCAAGAGCTGCTTTTATAATATATCCGTACTGGGATAAAATGTAATTGCCTAAAGTACTTAATCCCCGTCCACACTTGTTTGTATTCAAGTCGTTTTCGTTGTGGATACAGTGTTTGTTCACACTAATCAGATGGAAAATGACTCCAGAGACGGAACAATTTGGTGCCACCAGCTCCCACAAATTCATCTGAGTACAGATCTTGACTGTGTGGACGCCTGAAAACACTGATACTCTGACGTATTAGCTCTAGTTGCGTCTTTATTGGACCACGTCACTGTGACTTGCTCCTTCCTAATTCACTGGGTTCGTGATATCGATCATGTGACGCTATTGTGGAAAATAGTTTAAACAAACCAGAGACAAACCGAACCTCATCGTCGGTCAAGGAAAAGACTTTTCACGGTTGCCATCTTCCTCGGCTCGAAATCGGCTGCTGCAACTTCAGACACTGAGCTTCACTTCCTTGTTTTTACTGCCCATGTGACGTTGTGACACCAGCCTAGTCATGTGACCAGTGTTTCAGGCAGTTTCACGTTACTGTGTGGATAGCGAAAGCTTTGATTGCTGACACAAAAAAACGAAATGTCTGTACGCAAATCTTTTCCGATACGGTGATACGTTTTAGTGTAAACATAAGATGGGAGTGATTGACAGGTGGGTTAACCAATCAGAAACACGCGTTGTCCATCCGTATCCAAACAAATATGGCTGGAAGGCTTTGGATTTCTGCAGAATCTACGAGTAAAGCACTAAACTAATGTCTAATGTTAATCTGAGGTGAGAGAAGTTTGATTTGGTTCAAAATGATGGGTGACCATCCTTCGTTTTACATGAGTCGCTGAAATTAAGAAATCTGATTAAACGACCAGACTAATATCCCCCGATATAAAAAAATAATAATAATACACACAGATTAGTCGGGATTTCCAACTGTTTTGTATCAACACTGCAGTCTACAATGTACAGAATGTGAAATGTCCCATCCACTCATGTTATCGTTCAATTCTAAATATCTGAAAAAAACATATGTGCAAAAGATCAGGGACTAGGGTTGTCAAACGTATCAAAAATCAGAGACTAATCAATACCAAAACTAGTATTGAAACTAGATACTCATTTTTCACAGGTAGAGATACTAAAAAACACACCATTGACAGGACAGAAGTGAGCCTTTCCTGAATAGTTTTAGAATGATCTGGACCTGTTTCAGAAAAAGTATAATAGCACATAGACAAGTGTAAGTCCATGGACCTGGTTTAGACCTGGTTTAGACCTGGTTTAGACCTGGTTTAGACCTGGTTTAGACCTGGTTTAGACCTAGACGACTGAGGGATCACACAGATATAAGGACACATGGGGATAATATTGAGAATCACGATGTACTGTCTAAAGAAAGAGTGTTTTTATTCATTTATTTTTTTAAATTATCATTGTTGTATCAGATTCGGTATTGAGTATCAAGTCTATTGGTTAGATTTTGATTGATTTTGATCTTGTAGCTTTAAATATGTGGCAATACCGACACCAGAGACAGCATTTATATCCTTAAAACGAAACAGAAATAAGACTGAACTGATCCATATGTGTTTAGTAGCTCTTATTTATCGCTTGTTTAACATAAAAACTATGTATAAATACAGATTCAAACCTTACGAGAGTTTCTAGGCGTACTACGACCAGTAAATAACCTTATTACACCAATTTACAATGACGGAACCGATATTTCGAAGCCGATACCCGATCCAGGAAATTGTTCAGTATTGGCGAAATGGCGTGTGGATTTTTCGCATCAGTTCCGGCCCCATAAGCAGAGTTTTGGCGAACGGCGCTGGGGCACGATAGTTCCTTACGCAGCAGCTGAAACAGATGAAGTCAGCTGGACACGTCTTCAGGGGCCCATCGCGCTCTAATGAAAGGCCTCTTAACAGTGAGAGCCTCATAATGTCGCTGTTAATAATTAAAAGGGAATTAGCCGAGACAAAACAGCCCAAACGCTCGTCTCCTCCTCCAGCGCTGCGCCGAGTCGAAGAGGAAGATGAAGAGGAGGAGGAGAGATACTGTACGGGTAAACAGGGTCCATGAGATCGCCCCCTCCCCCGTCTCTCCTCTCTAATTGGCCGCTGTTGTCAGAGTATGATAATATAGTGCTGCGTGGAGCTGTCACTGGGTTATTAGGGACTACAGCGGCATAAGGACATCACACAGGAACATATGGTGCGCAATATGTACAGCTCACATATTAAAGGGGACGTGTTACGGTTTAGGGTTTGCGCCCTCTGCTGGTGATAATGGAAATAAACCACAAAAATAAACATGCTCGCAGATTGAATGGTAAACGGTCACGTTTTTATACAGCGCTTTTTCCACCTTCAAGGCTCAAAGTTTTTACAACAAGGAACCGCTCACACATTCATACACCAGGTTACACAGACACTGGGGGTGAGGTGGGTTAAGTGTCTTGCCCAAGGACAAAACAGCAGCATTCATCTTTGGGAGCTGGAATCGCTAAGCCAACCTGTGGGTCAGTGGAATAAATAAATAAATCAATTAATCGTACTATAACTTTTAAGAAGCTCAATAACTTTTCTGGATGCAATAAATTCTGTTTACATGTTTGTTTGTTTTTCTCGCTCTCTGTCGCTCTCAAAGAGACAATGTTAGAAGCTTCTATCGCTCTCTGACTCCCCTCGTTAAACAAGTGTAATGACGCTTGAACCAACGTGCGCTGTGTTTATCAGCACAGCAGATGCGTGCGCAGCCTGAGTGCAGAAAGCGCCGCTGTCTAACACAAGCGCCGCCGTCAGAGCCAAAACAGCTCATCGCCGTGTGACAAAACGCGTCATGATGCCGAATCAACACTGGGGAGTGGGACACGTCTCAACAGCCACATGCGTCAAATGCAGCAAGCGAAACGCAAACAACGAGAAGAAATGTCTCAAACTCCAACAGCTGATAAACCCAAACCCGATCGACACAAATAGCCCTGCCCCCAGGAGAGCCTGAAATCCACTGAAATCCCACAAGACACTGACACGACACCAGACAGGACAGAGGCTCCCTCATAACAGAACCAGGATCCTGTGTCGTGGGTTCATACGAACATTTAAATGACCAAAATGACGAGGCTCACAGCACCAACCACAGAGAGACGAGCCAGAATATTCCAGTGTAAGTCAACAACTAAAATCACTTTTAAGGGCAATTTTGTTACAGAGACTTAATAATCCATTTCATTTATTGTTTTGTTTGTGTTTGGTTCAACAATGATTTTGGTCAAGTGCATTTTTGTGAACAAGTTCTTGCTGTAAACCAGACACATTAGGCTAGTCCTGTGTTAACAAGTCTGTTTTATTTAGGCCTAGTTTTTTGGTTCCTGTGTTAAATGTTCTATAGAAAGTCAAGTTTATTGATCTTTGAAAGGGTGTGTTTGCATTTTTATTCCATGGTCATTATAATAGTTGAAATTGGTCTCAAAATGTCAGTATTATCGTTTATCGCGATGAATTCTTGGTCCAGTTAATCGTCCAGTAAAATCTGCTATCGTTACAGGCCTAGTTGAGAGCAGGATTCGAACTGCCAACCTTCGAATCAGTGGACAGATATCAAAATGCATCCAAACGTTTTCTGCTGTTCAGACTGACACCTGCACCAAATGGAAATACCAAAAGTAAAATAATTTTTGTCAAATCAATTCAAAATACTCAAAACACCTCA